GGAAGGGGTCGCAGGGCCGTAAAGGGGGGCAGCGGGGCTGGGGGGGGCTGCGGGGAGGTGAAGAGGGGGGATGACGGCTGGAGGGATCTTCCTGTGGGAAGGGAGGGGGTGGGTGAGATGGGGAACCCCCAAAACTCCTGCTCCCAACCACGTCCCCCCAGTTCAGGGGGGGGGGAGAGGTGAGATGGGAGCCCCCACAAATCCTCGCTCCCAGTCCTGCATCCCCACCTAGTCCTCCCGGGTTTGGGTGGGAAGGGGTGAAACCCTTAAATCCCCATTACACCCCCGCCTTGTTCCACCCCAATTCAGGTGAGGAGGGGGTGAAACCCAACCTCCCCTCCCCCCATCTCTGCTCTCGGTCCTGCATCCCCATCTTGTCCTTCCCAATTTCGGTGAGAAGGGGGTGAAACGGGACCACTCAAATCCTCACTCCCATCTTTGTCCCCTCAATCCTTCCTGATCCAGGTAGGAAGGGGGTCCCAAATCCTGCTCCCATCCCTCCATCCCCACTTTATCCTCATCAGTTTGGGTCAGAATGGGGTGAAATGAGACCCCCTCCAATTTCCCACTCTCATCCCTGCATCCTTACCCCGCTCAGTTTGAATGGGGAGGGGGTGCAACAAGAGCCCCCCAAATCCCCGCTCCCTTCCTCCCCACCAATCCCAACACCATTCTGGGACCTGGTGGAGCACAAACCCTCGCTGTGTCCGTGTGGCTTTGTCCCCTGCCCCCCTCAGCAGCCGGGTCCCCCTCACCTCCACCTGTGTGCGCTGAGGTGCCGCTCCAGCATGGAGCCCAGCGCGGCGCAGAACCGGTCCAGCCGTCGGTCGAACACGTAACAGCCCGGGGTGACCAGGCGGCTCCCGAAGGTGCAGAACTGGGGGGGCACCGTGCCAGGGTCACTGCAGCTCCCCCAACCCCCCGCCTCCACCACCCGCCTGGCACGGAGCCGGGAGAAGGACACGTGGATGGGCTGCTGGAGGAGTTGGGGGTCCCTGCCCCGCTCTGGGGTCCCCTCACTCACCGCCTGAGGCCGTGGTGGGCGCATCGGGGTCCGGGGGGGCTCCTCGCCCCCCTCCTCTTCGCTCTCCTCGCTGGACACGCGGCTGCCCCCCTTGGGCAGGGGGAGGGGGAAGCTTTCCATGCTCCCCTCCCCAGAGGTGGCCGGAGCATCCTCAGGGTCACTGTCAGAGGAAAGTCGGGCCCTGCACCGGGGGGGACGTTTTGGGGTGCTCGATACTGGGGGGGTCACTGTGAGACGATACTCTCCCCCACACACCAAATCCCCACTCCTAATGCCTGCAATGTGCCCCCCAATTCAGGGAAAGGTGAGACGGGACCCTCCCCAAATCCCCACTTCCATCCACTTCCCCTCCCAATTGAGGCGCAGAGGGGCTGAGACAGGACCCCACATTCTGCACTCACATTCCTGCTGCCCTGCCACACCCCCCAGTGCAGGTGGGGAAAGGTGAGATGGGACCCCCCAAAACCCAGCTCCCAGCCACATCTTCCCCTAATTCAGGTGGGGAGGGAGTGAGACAGGACCACCCAAATCTCTGCTCCCACCCACATCCTCCCAAATTCAGCTGGTGAGATGGGACCCCACAAATCCCTGCTCCGAACCACATCCTCCCCCAGTTCAGGTAGGAAGAGGGTGAGATGGACCCCCCCAAATCCCCGCTCCCATTCCTGCCCTTTCAATGCATCCCCCCCAATTCAGGTGGGGAGAGGGTGAGATGGAACCCCCCCAAATCCATGGGGTACTCACCTGCTGGGGTGCAAGCAGTGGGACAGCCTGGCTCGGCAGGGAGGGGTATTGGGGGGCTGCAGCAGTGAGGGGGTGTCCTGCAGGGCAGGGTGCAGTGGGTCCTTCTCAGGGGGGCTCCTGTCTTTCGGGGGGTCCCCTCGGCGGGTGCTGGCCTTGAGCTCGGCCACCAGCACATCGAAATCCTTGGCCCGACCCTGCACCTCCCGGCGCTGGTGAACCGAGTGGATCTGGGCGACAGCAGGGAGGGGCTCAGGACCCCCCAAAACCCCCAGGGGGGGATAACTGGGGTGTCCCCTCCCCGTTTTCCACTACCTTGCAGGTCAGCAGGCGAGTGCAGAGCTTGTTGGTGTCGGGGTTCCGCACCCCACACTGCCGGTTCAGGTCACACTCCTTACCTGGGGGGGACATGGAGGCAGCGGGTGCTGGGGGGGCACCCCAACACCCCCACTAGGGCTGGGCATGGAGCACCCACCCCTCGGAGCAGCTCTGAGGGTGGGACACAGCCCTGAGAGGTTTTGGGGGGTGTGGGGGGAGGTCACCATGTGCTGCTCCCTCCCCTTTTTGCCCCTCTGCAGGGTGAGCTCCCCCCTTTTTTGCTCCTTCCCTGGGGTGACCCCCCCCATTTTCATCTGCTAATGGCACTGCTGTCACCTGGGTGTGTCTGTGGGCACAGCAGCAATTGGCTCCCGTATTTTGGGGCAGGGGGACACATTTGACTCCCATATTTTGGGGAATATGCGTCCAACCTCCATCTTTCGGGGTGACGTATGTCCAAACCCCAAATTTTGGGGGAGCACACATCCAAACTCTGTATTTTGAGGTGGCATACACGTTTGACACACATATTTTGGGGTGATACACGTTTGAACCCCATATTTGGGAGGGTACATGTGTTATACCCTGATATTCTGGGAGGGATAACACATTTGGCCCCCATATTTTGGAGGGATATGTGTCCAACCCCTGTATTTTGGGGTGATACATGTCCAACCCCCATATCTTTGGGGGACACATGTCCAACCCCCATATTTTTGGGGGGACACATGTTGAACCCTCATATTTTCAGAGGATACACACTTGACCCCTTTATTTTGGGGGACACACGTTTCACCCATGTATTTTGGGGGGAACATGTGTTCAACCCCCGTATCTTGGGGGACCATGCATTTAGCACCCATATTTTGGGGGGAATGCACATTTGACCTCCATATTTTGGAGGGATACACATTCAAATACCAAAATTTTGGGGGGACATATGCTCAACGCCTCTATTTTGGGGGACACGCATTCAACTCTCATATTTTGGGAGAAATGCACATTTTACCCCCATATTTTTGGGGGTCACATATCCAATTCTTACGTTTTTGTGGGGGACACAAGTTCAACCCCCCATATTGTGGGGGGACATGTGTCCCACCTCCAGATTTTTATGGGGGACACCTGTTTGATTTTTTGGAGGAACACGTGGGAATTTGGGGATCCATCCTCGGCTCCCACTCTTGCTGTGGCCATTCCTTGGGAGCAGTCAAGTGGGGGCCCTAAAACTGCAGGATGGGAACTGGGGGGAGGGCAGGGACCCCCCAACCCACCAGAGGAGAGGGGGGAGCCACTCCCCTGGTACCTACCCCACTGCTAGACCCGGCCACCGGAATTCCGGCAGCGGGATGTCCCGCTGGGATCATCCGCCTCCCCCCCATGGCCGGCAAGGAAAGGGGGGGACTCACGCGCCAGCTTCCTGTGGGACCTGGGGGGCGGTTTGGGGGCCCCCACATCCTTCTCCCCCGGAGCAGGGATGCTCTCCGGCATGGCCGAATCCCCCCCGACCCCGGCCGGCACCGGGGGCTCTCTGGGCACCGCGGCAGCCGCGGGTTTCCCCAGGGATTCCTTGGAGTTGGTGGGGACGGCTTTGGGGGGCACCTTGATCCCGTGCCCGTCCGGTTTGGGAATGCTGGGAATCTTCTCCAGGTTCACCACGGGCACAAACAAGCTGCGGAGAGAATTTTGGGGAGGAGGGGTAGGATCAAAGCGACCCCACAAGAGAGCATCAGCGTCTCCCGTCCCAGCGCTCACCAGAGGTTGTTATCCTTGTCCGTGTGCTCAGGGAGGGGCTGGGCTCTCCCACGGGCACCAGGATGTTTCTCCTGCAGGGCTTTGGCCGCTCCGGGGGTCCTGCCAGGCACCGGCTGCCCGTTCACGGCGACGTGGCACGCGGTGGCACGGGCATAGAGCTTGCTGAGCGGGCCGTGCCGGCGTTCTGCCAGGAGGGTGGGATGGGATGGGATCCATGGGATGGGATGGGATGGATGGGATGGGATGGGATCCATGGGATGGGATCCATGGGATGGGATCCATGGGATGGGATGGGATGGGATCCATGGCATGGCATGGCATGGCACAGGATGGGATAAGCCCGCTGTAAGCCCACACCAGAGCTCACACCGCTGCGAGCCCCCTCCCTGCCCCCAGGCTGTACCCCCAGAGCCAGCCCTGGTGGCATTCCCGGTGCTGTTCCCAGCACCATGGGATGGAATAGCCGTTCCCGGAATTCCCTGGCTCACCACAGTGCTTCTGGAAGGCCTGGGGCTTCACCACCTGGCTGCAGTGGTTGCACACCACCAGGTAGAAGTCGTCGTGCGCAGGGCAGTGCCCGAAGATGTCCATGTCTGTGGGGAGAGCTCAGTAAGCTGGCACAGACCTGCTGCTGCTGGAAGCACTGCAGACAACGATTCCAGCTCGATGGCTCACACAGCCCCAAAATGCTGGGTTTCACCCCAGAGAGGAGCTCACCTTCCTTAATCAGGGTCATGGTGTCCAGTTTCTTGCTGCCACTCCTACCATTCTCCTCCAGCTCTGACCCTGATCCTGCCAGAGACAAAATCCTGTCAGTGGCTGGCACAGGGATGGTCCCGGTGCTCCCACACAGGGATGTTCCCGACATTCCTGCTCCTGGAACAATTAAACCAGACAAAATTAGATCAGAGAGACAGATCCATCCTGTGAGTGGCGTCGCCCTGTGGTGTGTCACCATCTCCAGGGTCCCCATCCTGACAGCCCAGTGCCAGCAGGATGTTCCTGGGGACGTCCAGTATGGGATGTGACACCCCTGGGACACATTTACCCTGGGATGGAACATCCCTGAGGACACCCTGGTGCTGGGATGGGACACCCTTGGGGACAACCCTGTCCTGGTTGGGATGTAACATCCCTGAGGACACCCCAGTCCTGGCACATGAGACCCCTGGGAACATCCTGGTCACAGAATGTGACACCCTTGGGACCCCCTGGCTCCCATACAGTCATGGCTCCACTGGCTGTGCCTGGCCAATGTCCTGGGCTCTGTTCTGGGGGGACTGGTGGCCACTGAGCCAGCGGTGATGGTGACCTGGCCAACTGTGCCAAACTGGGTGTCCAGTCCATTCCCAGTCCTATCAGGCCAATGCCATACTGGTGCCCAGTTCCATCCAGCTGTGCCCTACTGGGCACCCAGACCCATTCAGATGCACCACGACTGGTCCCAGTCCCAGTGCTGAGAGCCCACTGGACACTGCCAAGCTCCCAGTAAGGGGCACCTGGCACCCAGTGCACCCTGCCCAGCTCCCAGTGCAGGGTATCCCAGTGCCCAGCACGTGATGCCCAGTCCCCCTCTGGGGTTCCCAGTACCTCCTGCCTGGTCTGGGGTAATGGTGGCAACTAGTTCCCAGTCCAGGCTCTCCATTTACTGGTCTGTTCCCACCAGTGTCCACTGCAGCTGGGATAGCTGGAATCCAGGACGGGGCACCCAATAACTGGCTCCCAGTAACAGGCACAGGGTTCCCAGCGGGCAGACTGGGGTGCCTGGTGCTGCCTGCCCAGTTCCTGGTGCAGAGATCCTGCTGCCCAGTTCCTGAATCCCAGTGCCCAGCGTGGCTGCCCAGTTCCCAGTGCAAGCACAGAGTGCCCAGTTCCAGGTGCCCAGTTCCAAGTGCCCAGTGCCCAGTTCCAGGTGCCCAGTTCCAGGTGCCCAGTGCAGGATTCTTAGTGTTTGGTTCCTGGTATTGGGCAACTCTTATAGGATGCTCTATTCCCAGCTCCCAGTGTCCAGTACAGGATGCCCTGTTCCCAGTGCCAAATGCCCAGTTCCTGGATCATGTCTGGCTCCCAGTCCCAATTCCTGGTGCCAGATGC